GTGTTCAATTCAGTATAATTAATGTTATCATGTATCGTTATTGTCGTTTACCTATATTCTAATTATTGTTATTACTTTGATCAAGTTGAGGTACCCAAAGTAAGTGAGTGATCGTGATGGCATCAATTCAATGTCTGAATCCCAAAGCCGAACTGGCTCGTCATGCTGCGGCGCTTGAGATGAACATCAGCGGAGCTCGAGGTCTTCAGGAGGTGATGCGCACGAACCTCGGTCCGAAAGGCACCATGAAAATGCTCGTTTCTGGTGCTGGTGATATCAAACTCACCAAGGATGGAAACGTTCTCCTGCATGAAATGGTTGGTTAGCAATTAACTGCTTCTTAATTGTGAGATATAATCTGAATCAGAAAATTATTATTGTAGCAAATTCAACACCCGACTGCTGCGATGATAGCGAAGGCGTCAACGGCACAAGACGATATCACGGGAGATGGCACCACGTCGACGGTACTTCTTATAGGGGAGCTTCTGAAACAGGCGGAACTCTACGTTACTGAGGTTTGTCGCATACCTCAGTAATAACTTTACAGATCAAATGACAAGATCTCGAACTTATTATTGGATGATAGATGAGTTAAACTGCTGACTATTGCATTGATTGAACTGCATTTTCAGGGTGTTCATCCACGTCTGATCACTGAAGGTTTCGAGATTGCAAACACAAACACGTTGGAATTGCTAGAGACGTTCAAAGTGACACCAGCCATAGACCGTGCTCTTCTCATTGATGTTCGTTTGGATCTGATTTCATTTCTTCGTGAATATAATCGATTGCATGAATATAATGTTTGATGAGACCTTTGCAGTTTTCGATTGAAAGATGAATTTGTTACTGTGGAGTGTTGATAACAGATGGATGTGCATTTCAGGTGGCAAGAACCTCACTGAAAACTAAACTCAGTGAACGTTTGGCCGAGCATATAACCGAATGTGTTGTGGATGCTGTTTTGGCGATACGTAGAGATAACGAAACGGCACCGGATCTGCATATGATCGAAATACAGGTTCGTTTCGTTTCATTTCACAATCAGTTGGGTTATTTTTGAGGTTTAGTTTTGTGTACGCATGAAGAAATATTCACGGTAACGTCGGAAAGATCAATAATATACAAATGAAATTAATGAGAGTATAATGTTACTTATTGTATTCTTGATAATAACAAGAACTACAATAAGATACAAGTAGTGAAAATTGAAGGAGATGCAACACGAGAGTGATATGGATACGAGCCTGATCCGCGGTCTAGTACTCGATCACGGCGCACGTCACCCGGATATGCCGAAGAGCGTGCAGAATGCCTATATCCTGACGTGTAATGTATCGTTGGAATACGAGAAAACAGAAGTGAACTCGGGATTATTCTATAAGACTGCTGCGGAACGTGAGAAGTTGTTGGGCGCTGAGCGCGAGTTCATTATGCGTCGAGTGCAGAAGATTGTCGATCTGAAGAAGAAGGTGTGTGATGAAGTGTCGGCTGGAAAGGGGGACGGCAAAAAATGCGGATTCGTTGTTATCAATCAAAAGGTATATTTTGAGATTTCGTTGAGTGGTTTGTCTTGTTTATTTGTGAAATTTTTCATTTCTTCTAGACAACGATTGCTTTGCGTGTTATATTTGTATGATTATTGCAGGGAATAGACCCTCCATCGCTGGATTTATTGGCTCAGCATGGCATATTGGCATTAAGACGTGCAAAAC